AACTACGTAGAAATTAAAAGGAACAAGACACAGGACACAATAATTCCAAGAGCCACAATGACCTTTATTTTTTTTAAAAATTACAATCTACAAAGTTAACCAAGGTAAAATCAGGACCAATGGCTCTCGCTCACTGCAGTTTAAAAACACTTGAACCTGGGAGGAAAAAAAGAACAGTAATCATTGAACTAATGGAGCTAAAAGCACATGCTACTAAGCTTTAACAGAATCTTACTGGAAGAATTTTACATCAGGAGGGGGACATTGGGATTTGCGGTATTGCAGTAATTTTAATTTCGAATTGTGGTATTCTCCGAACCCACGGGATGTGGTTTTTTAGCATTTTGGACAGCATTAAAAATTATCCTCCAAGTCCTCCAACGTTTTTGGAGCCTTTTCCAGTTTCCCATTGGAAAAGGGTAGGTTATTTTTTGTTAATTATTAGCCAACATGCCAATGGATGTCACTTATTCTGTTTATTTTGCTAAATAGAAAATAACAAATTCCTTATTTGCTCTAAACTTAACATACAGAGCACTGGTTTTGGTATAACATCGAAAACTCTACCGATTGAAGTATTGCAGTATTTGGCAATTTTTTTGTGATATTAGAGTATTTGCCGATTTTTTGCCATTTGTGGTGTTCAGAACCCCCCAATATCCCCCTCCATCAGCAATTAAAAGTCTTTTTTTTTGAGATCCCTGCTGAATAGGCCATGTTAGGTTAGGCCCGCTGACAGTGTACTTATAGAAGGCACAGTAGCCTAATGGTTAGAGCACTGAAATCTGGGCTGAGTGACCTGGAGAATTTCATAGCAATATCAGGTCAGTAACTTGATATCGCAAGACATCAGGACAGTAGACATGGCGTATGATTGGCTAATTTGCAAATTTGGGTATGGTAAAAGGGAAAATTACATCTTTTGTTTATCTCTCTTGACTCACTCACCTCACTCACAAGTGGTTTGTCATCAGCTGAACAGTTTCATGTTTTTAGTAAGTGTGTGACTCTGTGCCGCCGTGGCCAAATCCTTTGGGGCCAAACAGGGCATTGTAGCAGGGGATGTGACAGTATGGCTTGCCATCCCTCTGCAAACAGCAACACGAAAACGACCCCAACACAAGTTAAGAAAATCAACACAGAAATAGATATAAGAGCTTTTGGTGGCATACATACTGTGCACTGGTGGTTACTGATAATCTCGTTCATGTAAACGCCTACTACACAGGGCTCGAAATTAAAGTCACCATTTGGCAACTAAGTGGTAAAAAATAGTTGCCAAATGCAAATTTTTAGTCGCCAGATCACAAAATCAAATAGAAGAGGCACAGTCCAGAGGCATACATGATGTACACATGATCCAAGTTATCTTGGATTAACTGGTGCGGATACTGGATTTCGAGATATGGGCTGTTAAAGGGGGCCCCCTCGAAGGGGGTCCGGGGGCATCCTCAGCCAAAAAATTTTTAAAATGGAGGTCCTCAGAAATGGGACTTTCAACATTCTAAGGCCAAGTCAGCGCATCATAATGTCTCATTTTTTTTTCATTTAAGGGGTTCAGGGACCCCCCCCCCCCCCTGAAAATCCACCCCAGGATTAATGTTATGCAAAGAGAAGCAAAAGCCATTTTTGGATGTAAGAATCTAATCTTGGATTTTCCTGAACAAGTGCACCCTGAATTTTAACTCCATTTGATTCCATGGGAAACACAGAAACACAATGTCTGCAAAAACAATTTACAGCTAGGTAAGTTTTTATTCAACCAAAAAGAAAGAGTTTCAGCTGAATAGGAATATGTTAGTCGCTTTTTAGGAGTTCATACCCAAAACCCCCAACACCACAAGACAAATCATTCATTCATTCAATCAGTTAATTAATCAAGCAAATGTTTACACCTTACAATGGTATTTGGAGGATAGAAGCCCCTTAACCAGTCCCCAGAGAATAAGCTTATTAAGGTAATTAGTTAATTGTAATAGCGGCTAAACCCAGCTAATTACGTTCTCATGCTTGTAATGCAAGTTTTTTTAAAATTCCAGTGAAAAGAATAGATCTGCATAAATACCGTATTCACTTCAAGAAGAGAAATTGATATCTAGACAACATTATATTTACCTCGGCATGACCCCCAGGAGAGAGTGTTTTCTTGCATTTTGCACACTTCAGACAGGCCCTGTGCCAATCTTTACCGATGGAGGACACTCTCTCGGCTGCGTGGAAAGTACACAAAGCATATTTTAAAGAACAAAGTTTTAATGAGCTTCCCGTTGGTTTTGTTAAAAATGCTCAGTATTTATACAAACAGCTGTGTTTATTTCACTTTGTTTAGAGATTATACCAAACAGAAGGTTTCTTTAAACTTTTAACTGATTGAAAGTCTATTAAGGAAACGTCAGTTTAAAATTCACCAGAAAATATATTGAACAGCAGATAGTTATCAAAGAGGAATGTTGTCACAGTACTACCGTATTTCATGGACCGATTTCTACAACTCTTTAACGCATCACCGCAGCGGGTAAAGATCAAAAATTAGAGCTTACTGTGCAGTACAGTCGTCGAGATCAACGTCTGTTTACCAAAACAAATGAAATTTGATGCAAAGAAATCGAAGTGTGAGAAACAGATCGCTGAAAAAAATACTGACAGATCGCGAAAAAATCGCGTGTCAATTTGACGCGTCTGGAAAGATCTAAAGCTTGTTGAAAAAATAGCGCCTTTGTAAGCTAACAAAACCAGCATTTTGTACAAAATTTACTCACCAAAGTACACTTCTTTCCCACAAGTCGGACACTTCGGCATAGTGGAGGAAACGAAAGCAGAATATTTGCAACAGGCACTCCGCGTACGAGAGCTCCACCAAAACAGTAACATCCCATAACTCCAAGGGGTCAGGATGGCCGGCACTGGAGGAATCTCGGACAATTTTCGTTTCTTCCTAATGTTTAAAATCAAAGCTATATCGTTTGTGTTCTCTTTCACAGTGTAGTGTGCTTCGTAATCCCATATCCCATTTTAGTACATGGGAAAATAGCAGGTAAAACGAATATGAATGCATATGAACAGAAGCATACAGGCCTTTCTTAAATGAAAGAGTCTACTTTTTGTTAACTTACACGTAAGAGCAGTATACAGTCAGTGGTTCAAGCGGGAAAGTTAAACTACTAGTAAACCAGTACATACGGTACACGCAAAAAAAGGCAAGAAGTAATCATTAAAACACACTTTTATTCTTGATTGAGCAAACTGAACAACTCCAAAAAAATCCTTTCAACGTTTCAACCGCATCTCTACGGCCCCAACGTATGGGTTGAACCTGTGAAGAAACGTTCAAAATTGCCTGGGTTACTACTATGTTAACAAAAAACGCAAAATCGTCAAAATTCTGCCGGGTAGTTTAAATGACGGACTTATTGTACTTTGCGAAACGAAGATCTGTACAATGCGAAATGAAAAGTCTGTACTTTGTGAAATTATAAATCTACACTTTGGGAAACGAAAAATCTGGTTTTTCTTTTTTTGGCAAAATGCAGCAAGGCATATGTTGGAAACACAAAGAAACGCATTAAACATGTCGTCGCGGTCGACGAAGAACTTGTCCTGGCCTCGCTTACGAAGGCCAAGACAAAAAACAGAGATTAGCTTCTTAAAACAAGAGAAGGTTCGGAGAAGCTTTTTTTACAACAACCGGCTCGCCAACACAAGCCCAAATGTCCCGCACTCGACAGATTTCGTTTCGGTTCGCTTCGTTAAGTACAATTTTGCAAAGAAATATAAGGGGTCTATAAGCCACCATGAGACTCATGAGGGCAAATAAATTTGACTAGGAATGTAACTGCCACCTCCCCCACTCACCCGACATCCCCGGTATTGATTTACGCCACGAGACTATTTTTTTGGCGCGGGGGGAGGGGGGGGGAGGGGCATTGATTTTTCAATGAAATCAGTTACAACTCACTTGCCCATATGAACCAAGAGTGCGTCTCGAATTCTCCCAACATTAACCCCCACCCCCCGTGTTTAGATGAGTTATTTAAA